ATTAGCCATGTCGCCCCCGCCCGATCAGCCGCCCTAATACCTGGAAACCTGAACCAATTTGCCATCCACGTAGAGGCATTTTCAGAAGCAGTCAGGAGCATGCAATCCTGCAAAGCGGGGAGAGCCTGAAACGGGGGCTCTCTGCAAGTGGACATTCAATTCCCAGAAGTACCTTGAACCGCTTTGAATTCGCCTCCTCCCCCCAAAGCCCAGCCACAGAAACTAAGTAAGAATTGCCTATGGCTAGCTACTTGCCAACTCAGGAAGCACCTGTACCCTCCCGCCCCGGCCTCATTGTCCTTCACTGTTGAGGTCCGTGGAACCTTGGTGTTTGGTCTGTGCTCCACCTAGCCTATCCTCTCTCAGATTTGGGGACCTAAGCCCAGAATCCACCTTTCCCCTGCCTTGGGTTACCACTCGGTCATTCCTCTCCATGCTCAGGCCCTGGCAATTCAGTCACAATGTGAAACAGAATTCTCTGGCCACCCCTTCACTGCTCAGGTTCCTACTGAGCCTCCTAGTGCTAACCCTCACCCCTGCATTACCTCAGGCAGCCAGCAAGGACACTGCCGCTCCCCATGTGCCGTTCCCATCCGCTTTCTAGTGCCTGGGGCCCTGCAGTAAGACCAATGCTGGCCTGGGCCTTGAAGCGGTTATTGGACCTCCCATCCCTATGTATTTCAGAATAAAAACTGTTAAGCCATCCAGAACAAACAAACAAAAAGATAAGGAAATCCAGCTAAATTCTGATTTTTCCCACACTGAATACTTTGGATGTTATTGGACAGTCTCTCAAATAGAGTCTTCCTCTTCTGTGTTGCCCTTTTCTTGCTTGTATCCTAAGAATGTGCTCGGTCTACCTATGGGTAGTCCAGCACCGGATCCCAGATATCAGTGTGGAGGAGCTTTTGTATACGGGTGTGCAGGAGTCCTGTCTTCTGTACTTAGTGTCTGGGTCCCACGTTTTCAGATAGGGTGGTGCTTGTCAGAACCTGAGCCTGAGGCCCTCCTTAAAACATGTAGGCACCAATTTGCAGGATCTTTTGACTTTACACTTCCCTCATTGCTCTTCGTGAAAAGCAGGACTCTCCATCTCACTGCAGTCTCTCTGCCATCACTGCCATATCAGTCAGCTTTGCTACAGTACCAGCCAATTCAAAAACTCTGGGACTTTCAGCAAACCTTTGTTTTTCACTCATATTCCCTGCTGTGCTCTCCTCCCTGTATCTTCCCCTTCTGCAACTGAGGTTGAAGCAGCATCCGCTCTTTGGGACATGGCATTCTCATGGCAGAAGGAAGGGTGTGAGAGTTTCTGTTTGGACAAGATGTATATCACGTGTGCTCATGATCCATTGATTAAAGCAAGTCACAAGGCCCTGCCAACATTCTTTTCAGGCATTCATCCCAGATTGCAGCTTTCAGAGGTGACATGGCATGGGCAGCAGATGGGTGTGGGAGGCTCAGAATGCTGGAGGATGCCCCTAACGATGATGTCACTCCTGCTGTCCACAGAAGGGCTCTGCAGGGTGGCCTCACCTTTAACAAGATGCTCTCCAGTGTCCCACCACCTGGCTATCCATCCTCCTTCTGATGCCCAGTGTATTGGCCTGCTTGACCTTCCCTAATAGAATACCACAGACTGGGTGGCTTAAACAACAGAAATTTATTTTTTCATAGTTCTGGAGGCTGCAAAGTTCAAAATCAAGGTGTTGGTAGTTTGGTTTCTATCGAGGACTCTCTTCCTGGCTTGCAGATGGCTGCCTTCTTGCTTTGTCCTCACATGGCCTTTCATCTGTGTGCGTGTCCTCCTGGTGTCTCTTCCTCTTCTTAAAAGGACACCAGTCCTAAAAAAAAAAAAAAAAAGACACCAGTCCTATGGATTAGATCCTACCTTATGACCTCATTTAACCTTAATTACTTCCTTAAAGACCCCATCTCCAAATACAGTCACATTGGGGATTAGGGCTTTAATGCACAAATTCTGGGGGACACAATTCAGTCTGTAACACCCAGTTTCCTTGGGATAAGGCAGCTTTCACACACATAATCTAATTTCGTTTTCTCAACAAGCCTGTGAGGAAGTTATCAGATGATCATTTCCACTTTACAGATAAGGAAGACTAACAAAGTAACTTGTTAGTAAGTGGAAGATTCTGGACTGAGACTGTTTTCTTTGATTCCAAACCACAAGTTCTTTGAACTGTATAATGGAGTTTTGGCCTTATGAATGTTGGAAATGAAATACTGTACGCTTATTGAATTAATACCTGTAAGGATTACATAATATATGGAAGATTGTTTACAAAATGTTAAGTACGGAAAATAGATCACAAAAATAAATGTGCTATGGGTACCACCATGTAAAAACTATGGATAAAACTTGAAAAGGAACAGAAAAAATGAAGTACTTGACCTTCAGGGTGGTAGGGTTTTATTTCTTTTTTGTATTAAAGTTAGCTTAAGAAATACATTTTTAAATAACAGAATTTTAGCTCTTATCAAGGATGAGATTGGAAGTTGGTGGGAACAGGAGAACTGTGTGTCTGTTTGTCCCTAGCTTTCTGGGATCCAGAGACTTAGGCCAACTACCAAACACCATAGTGTTTAACAGACTCCTTCACTGTGAAACCTCCTCCAGTTCCAGCTTCCTGGGCTGAACTGTTCTAATTCATTTGATGGGCAAGGCCCTGTGAGTTGAGAGGGCTAAAGTCAAATATAGTGTGGAAGAAGATCAGCTCCTACAGGGGCAGAGAGTTGAACTTGTGCCACGGTGAGGAAGAGAAGAAAATTTCAAATGTGGCCAGAGATTTCCCCCCTCCACACACACACACACACACACTGAGTCCAAGTAATAATAGAGGATCTGGGCCACCAGGGGTTAAGGCAAAACAGGCAAGTGTAAATAGAAAATATATGTGTAGTAGGAAGTTCAGAAGACATTCCAAGAGCTTTCTGCTTTTTGGATCCCCCCCCCTTTTATTTTTAATTTTATTATTTTGGCCACGCCGTGCGGCATGCGGGATCTCAGTTCCCCTGCAGTGGAAGCACAGAGTCTTAACCACTGCACCGCCGGGGAAGTCCTCTTGGATCCCCTTCTAAAGACCCTCGGTGCCCCTTCTGTAGGCTGGCCTCTGGGAGCTCAGTCTGGCAGTAGTTGTGCTCTACGACTCCTAGAGGAAAATGTTATTTTCAAGTACAGTTAACATTCGTGTGATTTTATTACCAGAGAGTCCTCCCTTTTCTTTTATCCTGGAACAAAGTAATCTGTCTCTTAAAAATTATGTCTACTGTGTAAGCAGGTCCTGATAAAGTGTGCCTTGGGTATTCATCCTCTTGATTAACAAAGGTGTTTCAATTTATCAATCCCTAGATTAGTGTGCTGTCTTGTCTGAGATCAACATCCATCTTACCTATCATAATGGATGTTTTTCTTCCAGTACCAGAGGTTGTTCCTCAGTAAGGTCTCTTTATTTTAGGAGTTCATAGATTTGGATTGTAAAACTAGAGAACTGAGACAGGCTGGGACCTGGGACCCTTTGCTGACAGAACTGTTCAACTAAACTAGTCCAGACATTTTATCAGCCCACTCGGGAGAAATAGGAGTCATTCCCAAATCCGATACAAGAAAATCTGTGTGTTTAACAAAGAAAAATTAGCGACCAATTCTTAACTAAAAGAAGCTCCCCCAGAAAGACATACTCCGTCAAAGGATTCCTTTCATAGTAAGCTAGGTATTTGACATATGATTCAATTTACGTAAAAGAAAATCTGTTTTCATGTATTTCACAAACATCTCTGGCATAATATTTTATACACATTGCCCCATTATGTGAGGTAGAATGGTCCAGCCTGGGATTTGGTTTTTGCTTGTGACCACCTAGAGGGGTGGGATAAAGAGGATGGGAGGGAGACGCAAGAGGAAGGGTATATGGGGATATACATATGCATATAGCTGATTCACTTTGTAATACAGCAGAAACTAACACAGCACTGTAAAGCAATTATACTCCAACAAAGATGTTAAAAAAAAAAAAAAGGTTGCCTTTTATCATGCCAAACTCAAAAATGTTAAGAATGTCACCCAAGCCTCCATTAATAAAAGATTTTGTATTTATTGACCATGGATTTATCTTGAATCTGTTTGTATTTTCATTTGTGCCATTTGGGGTATAATGAGTTGATAATGAGTTGTGTGTTTCCCACTTGTATTCAGGTAGTATTCTTTTTTCTCGCCTTGACTCAGGGGGTCACAAACTCAGATGTCTAACAGAAGAAGTCATTCGAGTGGTCCGGTGTCCCACCTGCAGAGAGCAGCTACTCTCAATTTCAGTCCCCATTGCCAAGTGGGAATTTGGGACCAGTGTGGCCAAGATGTTCAGATTTTTCACTAGAAGCCCCAAACCTGAATTTTTAAACATTGTCGAGTCAATCAAAAATATAAAAAGACACCGTATAGAGCAAGTAGTCCCCAGTCCCCAGGAGGTATCCCATTTTATTTCTGGATGCCACATCTATGTTTTTGCACACTGCTTCTGTCTTAAGTATACCTCTTTTACATTTCATGCTTATCTCCTAATTCCTGGGATTTGATGTATGAGTCCATAGTCTCCAAATTGTGACAACTTTTAATATATCATTCTTTCAGCTTTCATCTTCACACACTAAAGACTATTTTAAATTATTCTGTAATGATGTAGAAACAGCTCCATGTGCTGCATTTTATTTACCTTGACTCAAGGCACAGTCATAGACACCAGTAAAATTATAAAGTCAGCCTTGTCATCTGTTGTTGTGATCAGTTGGTGTTCTTGAGGGTGAGTGGCAATGTCACGGTCACAGGCCAACTCTCTTCCTTCTCTCCACAGCCGGCGTTCCACCCAGCTGACAGCGTGCGCGGAACCCGCCACCATGGGCTGGTGGAGAGGCCGTCCCGGACCCGCTTCCACCCCCTCCACCGACGGTCTGGGGACAAGCCAGGACGACAAATATCCTTTTTCATTGTCTGAGGAGAGGATAAGTTTTGAAAGGTTTTCAGGATGTATCTTCCCTGTCATTCCCCTTTGGCCTGAAAATCTTCATTTTATCTGATGAACAGAGGCAAGAAAAATAAGTGAGTTGGAAACCAAAAACATCTCCACAGGTAAAAATTGGAAGGATCATTGTAGATGTTTACTTTATGAAGTGTCAATAAAGTTCAGTTTAATGAAGTAACTGAACATAAACAACATGCAATTCAGCCCCATTGCAAGGCCTTCTCAGCATTTTCTTCAGAAATCAGCAGTCAGAATTAAACATGACTTTGAATCAGGTTGGATAGATTTAATCTGTCCAGCCAAAACAAACAGACAGATAGGTGATTTGTTTTTATTTCTGTTGACCCACTGACCTGCTGCTAGAACTTACAGAAGAAATTTTATATGATTTTCTATTTATGGAGTTTCAAACTCAATAGATGACAACTAAAATATAAAGCTGGTATTTAGGAAAATCTTACGTAGTGATATTCACTCACACCAAATCCTATGCTATTAAGTAGGAAGAAAGAAAAGGAGATTGTGAATTCATCTGACAATTTTATTTATGAGGCCAGAGTTGGGTGTGCTGCGCGGGGTCCAGCATTGTGCTCAGGGCTTTTGAGCTGGATTTTGTGGGAGGAGGGCCTGCGTTCTCACTTCACTCTTCTCACCCACAGGGGTGGAGGAAGACGAGAAAGGCGGGGTAAGTCTTACTGCAGAGCTGGATTCCTGGCAGTGATGGTAGAGTTCGCTTCACCAGCCTAGAAACCAGGAAGTGGGGGGAGGATGCTTATGTTTACTGAGCACCTACCCATGCCAGACACTGTGCTGGGCAATTCATATGTCATTTAGTCCTCAATACTTACTGAGCAGTTTACTTTTTTTAACCCCCATTTTCCAATGAGGAAACTGAGTGTCAGAGTAACTTGCCCAAAATTCCACTGCTGAGGTTGGAAGGGCCCAGATTCAGCCCAGGTCAAGCTGACCCCCCAGCCTGAGCCCCTCCCTCGCTATAGCACTCAGTGGTCCCCAGGACCACACTCAAGAGAGACCCCCTGGGAGGAGCTGCGGGGGGGGGGGGGGTTGCACAGAGGAAACCACTGCTTCTCTTGCCCTTGGGCTTCTTGCAGTTTTCTGTCAATGTGAGGCAAGGGTAATGACCCCAATGAATGTTTACTTCTCCTCTCTTCCACCCCCAGGGACGCACCACATTTGGTCCACTGAGATACCTTGACTTCTAATTTTGTGTATTATGTGACCATTGTCTGGGAAAATGAAGTTGATAACTGATTTTTCCAATTTCTTTCTGGGAGGCGAGAATTCTACCATTTAACCACCAATACCCCTCAAATTCCTTTCTGGAATGTGTAATAACTTTTACATAGAATGCAAAAGGAAAGGAGAATTCAGGCAGTACTTCAGCTAATTCACATGTGTGCGGGTGGAGTAGTACCTGGAACCATTGTCTAAATTGCTTGGAATTTTCAAGTAAAAGAGTGTTTCTTGATGTAACTAACATTGTATCTTTTTCTAATTTCTCAATTCCCTCTTTCCCTTGTAGGTGTTTTCTCTAAATATTATAATACATATAGATATATTTATAGCTATTTCAAATCCTTTTTGCAGCAAGTATAGTCTAAATATATGCATATACTCACAGCTTTTTAAACTAGAGGACTGTCTAGAAGAGGAGGAGATTGAAGAAAAGCAATGGAGAAAAATGTTCATTCACTTAACAGTTAGTGTTAGGCACCATTTAGACACTGTAGATATCATGGGAAACATAACGTAGTCCCTGCCCTCAAGTTGCTTGTAGTTCAGTGGGAGAGGCAGCTGGGCAAGCGAATGGTGTCAGCAGTGTGGTGAGCTGCCGGTGATGCAGCTTAGGGACTGTGCAAGCTCAGAGTAGCACAGCCTGCACCAGTCTTGGGGAGATGGAAGAGGCATCCCAGAGGAAAATCTGAGGCTTGAAGGATAGGTAACAAGTGAGGGGATAGCATGTTTATTTATTTAACAGGTATTCACAGAGCCCCTTCTCTGTACAAGGTACTGTTGTAAGCACTGGGGACTCAGAGGTGTATGAGACAGATGTGTCCCTGCCTTCTTGAGTTTACAGTCCTGTGGGAGATGACAGACAACAAACAGGTGAAAAAAAAAAAAAAAGAAAAAATTATTAAAGGAAAATAACTTCAGGTGGTTGTGATATGCAGGGAGGAAGACAGCCGGGAGGAGATGTTTCAGGCGGAGCGAACAGCTTGTGCAAAGTGCCGGAGGGAAGACTTCACTGTGTGTTCAGGTGACTCTATCTCTTTTCGGGTAATAAGTCATAGGTTAGAACTTGACTGTGTATACGGGTCAACTCATGAGAGCAGCAGCAAAGCAGATCAACTCCTAAGGGCGGGAGAGAATAAACATACAGATGAATTAAAATTGTTCATCAGACAGTGCAAGTCTGATTCACCGACCATGAGATGTCTCTCTGAAGCACCTAACGGGGGTCCTGGGACTGACATCTGCTGACTGAAAAGAGTTCTTTAGCGTAGGCCTGCCCATGAATAAACAGCGAGTCTCTTTTGAAGAATCAAGGGACCTTGAGCTCCGGAAATAAAATATAAAAGTGGGATGATTTTATGTCGAAGATATGAATATATTCAGGAGAAGATGGGGAAGAGGGCTGCAATTCCATCTTTCCCTTCCTGGCCTGCATTCATTTGATTTTGCAATAATTTGCTTAAAATGGTTGCCTTTCTCACCGGTCTATTACTTCCTTAATGAAGTTTTATTATTCGGAAGTATTAACACCGGTTTGAATCTTTGCTAGAACAAAGAGAAGAAATGTATTCAGAATTTTCTTCTTCCAGCTGTTTCTTGGCTTGGGTGTTATTTTAGAACGCGCACACTGACTTAGAGAAGGGTTCAGTCCTATGATCTCAAATGAACATTGTTAACAGTGTGGGCACCACAAGCAGCGGAGATCTGGCACAAGGGCATTCCTCCCGCGGTGGGCAGTGGGCGGCCACCATAGCAGGGAAGGCTGGCACAGTGGGCTCTGGGCTCTGCTGTTGGCATGGGGGCCACCACAAGCAGAGACCAGGGCACTGCCCACCTGAGATCTGGCCCAAGGCTGTACTCAGGGCAGCAGAGAGGCGCTGCCTGGTCCCCAGCTGGGGGCCTGGGCCTGAGAACTCGGAGGAGAGGCTCTCCTACCTTCCTGCAGCTGCTCGTGTCTTCAGCAGCCCTTCTCACTCCTCAAAGGCAGCAAACATGTATCCCAAACACCATCCTGTTGAACTTCTGAGCTATTAACATAAATTTACAGCAAGTATAATATTATCTCAGACCTGTGGATAATACATTGAAGAAAAGGGGGACACACTGAAGAATCATAAGAAACGCCTTCCTCTAAAAGAGATGTGTTTTTAGGAAGAAAGAAAAACAAATGTTTAGAAATTTTCTGATTTACATTCCCAACAAGGTTTGAGAGTATATTGTGTCCAGAAAACTAGGGTGAACAGTCACGAAGAGATGCCTTAAGACCTGCCAAAGTTAGGAATGGGTTTCCTCTTTGGAATAGGCCTTGCTTTGATTCTTTTCATACAATGAGATGAAAATTTTAGGATGTCAGTTTATAGAACACTGTTTCTTTGAAATGCACTGCCTATTATATTTGAGAAATGTCTGGTTCTCTGTATCTTCTTGAAGCTTCACAGTTTATATTAGGGGTCTGAGAAGCCTGGCAGTTAAGAAACTTCTTGTCTTTAATCCAGGGTTTCCAAAACTTAGTTGATCACAAAATCCAGTTTTTACCTGCCACCCATTAAGGATTTCCATCTCGGAGGAAAAGGAAATGCTAGTTTTTAGAGTTTTAAGGGGAAAATAGTCAGACTTCAAAATCCCACATGCCGCCTATTTGTCACTCGTGTGCTGAGGTAAACAGGAGGACATTTTCATACACACAGGGACTCAAAAAAGATCTCACTCATGTACCTCCCTTCATGTTTGACTTTTAGATGTATTCTGGCAGGACATAGTTGGAGGTAAAAGGACGAGAGGAAGTTGAGCGATGGTGAAGACATGGTTGAGAAATTAGGAAGGAACCAAATTGTGGTCAGTTTTATATGTTAAATCTGACCCTGGCACTTGTCTTGGTGGGTGGGTTCTATTAACCCACCAGACCTAGAGTTCACTTACCCCACCAGCTGCGTGGACCATCATGAACCTGCCCCACAAACTCTGTGCCTGGAGGAACACGGAGTTGCAGAGGGCAGGAGAGAACATGGTCGCCCCCAGGCTGCTCAAGAAGGCAGTTCCTTAGCCCTGCCCTGGGTGCCCTTACCTCATGGGAACAGGAAGCCAAAAGAAGAACCCGGCTGTGCTCACCAGCCACGAGCAGGCAGCACAAGAAAGAGGCAGGGTCGGACTTGTTTGGAGCTTCTGAGGCTCAGGGGCCCCACCCACGGGGAAATGGGCCAGCAGGTGTCCTGTCATATCAACAGAAGGGCTACTCCCCTTCCTTTGGGAAAGAGTGCGTGAGAACTTTCCCTCTGGCCCTCCCCGAGCTGAGAAGGAGCAGGAGTCCCCTTGTTGATGGACTGAGGCAGGAACACGAGGGGAAGGATTCTCCGCTACAGAACTGCAGCGACTTGGGGAGAGAGAGCAGCCTGGGATGACTGGCATTTCCACCTGTAGCACCTGGGTGGATGGCACCCTCCATTACATACGATGGACTCCTAACAAGACGAGCAGGCGAGAGGCAAGATGATGAGTGGGATTTTAGGTAGAATTTGAGGTACTTTTGGTGGAGAAGCTGAGTAGGCAGTTGGAAATTTAAGCCTGAAGTTCATGAGAACTGTTGGGAGCTGGAGGTATGGATTTATGAGTTACTGGACTATGGATGATGGATGGAGCCAGAGGCATGGGTGGGACCGACCAAGGTGAGCATGGAAGGCAGGACACTCTTCCCAAAGTGGCTGTGCCCGGAGTCCCCAGCCTCTCGCCCTGCTCCCACTCTACATGGCACCCATGATACTGAGACCCTTCTCCCCATCCTGTCCTTTTGAGAGCAATGTAAGCAGATGTGGGCTGAGAGGCTGTGAGGCCACAGAAACTCTGGACCATCAGGGTTGAAGGCAGAAGAGGAGGAGCCAGAAGAGGAGTGCACAGGGGGATAAATAAAAAGGCCCATTATAATGTGGAATTGTTTGTTTTTGGATTTTTTTTTTTTAATGTGGACCATTTTTAAAGTCTTCATTGAATTTGCTACAATACTGCCTCCATTCCATGCCTTGGCTCCTTGGCCGGGAGGCATGTGGGATCCCGGCTCCCCAACCAGGGATCGAACCTGCACCCCCTGCGCCGGAAGGCAAAGTCTCAACCAGTGGACCGCCAGGGAAGTTCCTGTGGGACTGGTTTTTGACTTAGGCTTAACTAACGTAGTGCTGGGTGAGGAGCTGATCTGGTTTGTTAAAAACCCTGTCACCTCTGCTTCTGTTCTGTTTGTTTGCTGGCAAATAGCAAGCACTCTAGAAATGTTTATTGAATTAAATGGTAAATTCAAGTTTACAAATAAGGGTATTTTTTCTGTCTTTAGGATGTTCTTTAGGACATATTAGTGTTGTAGAGTAATTAAAGCCACCTGAACAAAATTTTCTGAAATCTTCAGAAGAACAAATAAACCTTTTGTAGGTTTTCTTCTGTTGAATTTAGCTGTAAGCTATTGACATTAGTGGTTACTAACATTAGTGGTTCTCTTGGTGCCAACAATTGTTGCGTTTTCGAATATCCATTAAGTGAGATGTGAATGGTGAGAATTGGGAGAGCTCAGAGGTCGCATCTTTTAACTTTTGAAGCCTCAGCCTACTCATATTAAAATTTCAGGAATTTACTACACTTCCATGTTGTTAATACACATCAGAAAGGCTAAAATGCTGACTTACACCTCAACATTGAAATAATCGATGTTTGATCATTGCACTACTATTACACCACTACATTCTAATTTGTATTACAGGTTCCAGATAAGTGGACTTAAGGACTTTAAGGGTGGCAGTGTCCTGAGGGAAGTGGTAAACTTCTGCTTCTGAAATTTATCTTTTCTGGACAGAGATTCATCAAACTCTGCAGGAAAGAGAAAGGCTCAATGCCTTCTCCCTAATGGCTCTGCCAACTGAGATACTGCTGTGCTTCCTCTCAGAGGGCCTTCTTATTTCTTTATCACCTTTTCCTCTTCTGTCTCCTTCTGCAGTCTGTTCTCATCTGTACTTTGCATACATTAAGCCTAATATTTGGTGTTGAAGAAATGTCTGGTCTCTCTTTTGAAAATAGCTCTGTTTTATTGCCTTGACTAAGATTCAGATTAAGAAAGAAGGTAACTAGACATGACAAAACTAATACACAGGAAGTGAACCTTGTGATCTTAATGCTTCTGGCAAAGGAAATATTTCATGAAGAGTTCATTAGTGCCCATGTTTTACTAATGCCAGATTCTGCCTGTAGGATAGGGTCCTTCTCCATTGGTTCCCATTTCCTTCTGAACCCTAGCTCAGAAGCCCTGGCTTCTTTTATACAGAATCATTGAAGATTTTTTAGCAGGAGAATAATATGATTTAAAATGTTTTAAGAAGGCTATTCTATATGTATAATTAACTAAATTAACCAAAACGGCTCTACTGTGCTCAGCATGTATAGTGTAGCATCACATTTGTTTTTCCATATTTCCATTTCACCTGGAATATGTTTTAAGGCAGGCTAGACCCAGTGAAGGATACAGAAATTATAAAACGGGGCCCCTGACAACCCAAGAAAGTTCACATTTCTCCGCAAACCTAATGCCGCTCTCTTTTAGTTATAAGAAACAGAAACCCTCAACTTGGAAAAAAGGAAATTTATTGGCTTATGTCACTAGAAGCCCAAGGGGCTAGATCCAGGGGTTTGTACAATAGCATCGAGATTCAGCATCTGTGAGGTGCTACCTCTGAATTGACTTCCAGGGAGAGAAACCCAGGTCCATGTGGTCCTCGGGCTCACCACGTCAGCTGGGGGCACTCCTTTTCCCCCTTGTTTGTATCATGAGCCCATCCCTGAGCCAGTCACAGGGGGATAAGTTACCTTGACTGGAAATATTGGGTCTGTGTACATTTTGTGGGGCAGGCAGGCCCACACAGAATGACAGCCTTACCAGGTTTCGGGTCGGGGTGGAAGCAGTTCTTGAAAGTAAAAGATGTTGGGCAGGCAGGAAAAAAAAAAAGAAACACCCCATGTGAATCATGCAAAGATGGCACTGGTTAGCAGATAGAATAGATTTTTCCAGAGGAAGTTGATAAGACAAAGCATGGAGGAAGAGATGTCGGGTGTAGAGATAAAGATAAGAACCAAAAAAGTTGTTGAACTCCCCACGATTCCAGCCTCTTAGTTCTGCTTCAACTTTCCATTCATTATATTTTTCCTTTATTGAAAATTCTACTTTGATGGTAGTACATTTGGAGCTAATTACGCCTCGCAGCCCCTGGATGAGAGTTGGCCAAGGTAAGCAAGCCTTATTTTCAAAGATAGGAGGGGCATGTGCTATTTTTGGATGGTTTCGCTTTATTGTATCCACCTTGAATGTTGTTTTAGAAATTTCTAATCTAAAGCACAGACTCTTGTTTTCTCTTATAAAACTAAAGTCTTTCCATGTATAATCATAGACGTATATGAAAGTCTAAAATTAAGTTATTTAAATCAATCTAGATCTTCATTCTAAAGACCAAATAGAAACACATTTGGAATACAATTACCAACATAATACTCTGTTTTTTTATTCTTCTATTTGAATATATAACGTGTCTTGGTAAGCTACTGAAAGAAACATAAGGCTTTAGTAAGCTCCTAAAACTAATTTGCATAGTGGATTTGACCTAGGGTCTCTCTGAGTATTTTTGTATATAGAGAATATATACCAAAAAGTTGAGTGTTTTTGAATACTGAGGGTGACAGAATATAAAATTAACTGAAAAGATTGTTACATCCGGTGGATGCATGGTATCATTTTCAGATCACCTAGTCAGATTTAAGAGGCATTTGAAATGTGCGTATTGAGAAAATTCAGCTCTCTCGGTTGAGATCTATTCTCCATCCATTCTCGGGGCAAACACTGGCAGCACTTCCTGTGGATAATGTAGTCAGGACCTGGAAAAGGTCGATATGAAGATGGGTGACAGCTGGCCCCTACCTCAAGTAGGTTTTCAGCAGTGCTTAAGAATCTTGGGATCCATGGTTGTAGGACAAGCACAATATTTTATTTTAAATCATGAAAGGATACCTCCAAATTGAGATTCTAAAAATTTGTATTCAAGAAAAATTGTCTTAGGCTTTCCAGAGCGGGAGGATTAGTCAGATTCATAGTTTCACAAACTGGGCTACTGTAACAGTTATATTCCTCTTCATGGCAGTCTGTGTGGGGTTGCAGCATTTCTGCTTCCAGTCCGGCCAGGCACCCACATGCACACACTCCACGCACTCGGGGTATGTGACAAGGGGTGGTTTTTCACACATCTGGAGTAAGACCTCACATCCCCAGAGAGGAACTGGTCATAGGTTTGAAACATTTCAAAAGGCATTCAAAGGTGCTTGTTTGACCTTTTAAAAAAAAACCAAAAAAAACCTTGTTATGTGCCCAGCTATCTCATTTGCTCCTGCTGTTCCCATGGATTTGTGATAGTTTTAATCATGGAAATCAGAAATCAAAGGAACTGGAGAGGTCAGCCTTGCAGCTGGGTTAATAGAGGAGCCAGTTCTCAAACCCAGGCCAGAAGTTCTCCTTTGCTCCCCGTGGATTGAACTTCTTTTTCTTTTTATGTTATTCTGGTTTTTAAAGGCAGCAGCCTCCTTGGAAGGAAGAGAAGCACCCTGGGTTCAGGCTAACATCTGCACTTAACAGGTACATGGCTTGTTTTCTAGTAGAAATAAACTTTAAGCCAGTCGCCTTGATTGTCCTGATGTTTTCTAATATATCATCCATTTGCCAGAGTATGTTTATATCAGTTGTGTTTATATGAAGTGTTTAAAAAAAAAAAAGAGGAACCCAAATCTCCCACCAGGTCGTGAACGTCTGCTCAGGACACTGCAGCAGTGTGAGAACATGAGGTCTGAGTGGATAACAGGGTCTGCCTCTCTTAACCTGTGACCTTGAGCAAGTTATGTAGCTTCCCTATGCCTCAGTTTACTCATCTGGAAAAGGGAGATAACAGTGCCAATATCAAGGGGTGGTTGTGAGGATTAAATAAGATACATAAGGAACTTGGGAATCGTAAGTATTCAATATACATTAGCTATTAAATGATCACTTTGAGCTGGACCCCAGTGGTAAGTGTTCTACATAGGTCATTTTTTTTGATCCTGATAACATTCTACAAGAATGAGTAGTATTTTCTGTTCTAAGAGGTTATAAACGACTTTTCCAAGGCCACTTAGCTAATATGTGATGGAACTGGGATTAAAAAAAAAAAAATTAGTGCAAAATTTTAACATATACAAAAAAGAGTTGGAAAGGAAAATAGTTATAAGAATTCCGTGTGCCCATCCTTCAGCTTCTATTTCTACCCCGCCGTCCCCCACGCCCCCATCCCAGCACTGGCCAGATAAAGTATTTCACCTGTAAGTATATCTAACAGTATAAGCCTGATAGGAACCTTTTTTAAAAAAACATAACCACAATGCCATTATTACACTTAACAAAATTAACAGTAATTTCTAACATTATTTAATACCCAGTCTGTATTCAGATTTTCCCAGTTGTCTCTCTGCATTTGATTGATATTCTCCTGAGTCTTTTTGAATCTGTAAAGGAGCTAGAATCTGAACCCAGGGCTCTCTGATCCCAGAGTCCACACTCTTCCTGTTTTTCATGTAGGTTCTGAACTGCCTCTCCCTTTGTCTGAACACAACACAGCCATGGTGCACAGTCAAGCCACATGGCTTGGTGGCCACAGGAGGCCATCACCTGGAACAGCCCACAAAGAAGCATTTTAGATTAATTTCGGGTCTCTCACAAGTTCGTTTTATGGCAGACAGTTTGACCCTTGGATGAGATAAGTAAATAATATCTCTTAGAGTCGAAGCTAAATATAAATTGGAGCTGTCTGGGAGAATTCCAGAAATTTGCTATAGTTCAACGGTTCCCAAAATGTTTGTCTTAAGACTCCTTTGCAATCTTAAAAGCCATTGAGGCCCTCAGTGTTTGTTTGTGTGAGTGTATTTGTTTGTATTTCGCTATTGATATTGGAAATTAAATTGAGAGATTTATAGAAGATACTTATTAAATGCATTTAGAAATAAAATAATAATAAACTCATTACATGTCTATAAATATCTTTTTTTAAGAAGCACAGTTATATTTTCTGAAACAAAAAAAATTTACTGAGAAGAGTGACATTGTTGTACCTTTTACAAATCTCTTGAAGATAGCTCGATTCTCTGCTTGTGCATTCAGCCTGCGGTGACATCACAGGTCACAAGGCTGCTGGAAAACTACTGTGCTCATGAGAGAGCGAGAGTGAAAGGGCAAAGGACACATTAGGGTTATTTTGAAAGTTGTCTTGACCTTGCATTCTCCCTGGAAGGGTTTGAGAGTCACTGCTATCGGTGATCCTTCGTATAGGAGGAGTTATTCTCAGATGGGGAAAAGCTAGTGCAGCCACAGAGAATATACTGATCACAGCGATCTTCTGAGTTGCGAGGAAAACTGGGAAGTTTCTTAGAGGAAGCTGTGAATCCATGGTCTGCCTTGTTAAACCAGATCATTATGCCATTAGCTTCAAAGGAAAAGATCATACAAGTACAAATTACAGCCTTTTGGGTGTGGGCCATCCTCAGAGGCTGTTACTGATCTAAGGGACTTCAGGTAGGTCCAGACCCCTCATTTTATGGATGATTGCAAATCTGTTATTCTTGCCTTCTTTCCTGTTGGTAATTTTCAGCAAAGAACATTGCATTTTCACTAAGGAAAAATGGATTTTCAGCCAGACTCTCTCCTCCCCCCATTAGGACCAATTCTGACTCTGCTCTTCACACGAGTGCTCTGAGCACCAAGCCCCAGGACCCCTATGGAGGAGGGGGCCAGTCGGCCTGGCCTGCCTCATACATGGGTAAGACATGCAGGCCCGATGCTAACAGCATCTGTGCCTTCTCATTCTGTCCTATGGGAACCGGGAGAGAGAAAAGCTTAAACCGCAAGTGCATTTCCCCGATTCGTGGTCCTCAGGGAAAAACTCCTGGCAGGGGAGATGTGTGTGTGCTCATGATGAAATAAGAACGGAGCTTCTCTCCTGCCTCTTTCTCTGCAAATTCTCTCTTCTTGGCATCTCTTGACCCTCCAGCTTCCTCTACTCCACACTCTTCCATTTTCAGGCCCTCATCATTTTTATAGGGACCCATAACAACTTGCTAACTGGTCTCCTTATTTCCAGTCTTATGTCCTCCCAATCCAGTTTTATGTTGGGTTCTCTGAAAGTCCTTTTTTCCCATCCAGAATCTGGACAAACTGAGAAATAAAAGTAGAAGTGATGGGTGGAGGTAAATACCACCTTTCTTCCTGACAAGAGGAAGTGACTTCTCTCTGTGGGTCTGTGGCTGTTAAGACTGAACCCCAGAGGGAGACTGACTCCCCCAGTGGCCGGCAGCACTGGCCCAGGGCGCCCCCCGCAGGAGCACCGAGGTCAGACTGCAGGGCAGGGCCGGCAGGGAGGCTGCTCTCCGAGGGAAGGCGCGCCCCTGGCCAGGAGGAGCGCGAGCCAGAGTGGAGCCGGCACCCCCCCGCTCACTTGTTCCCCTCTTTGCTGCAGGTCATCATTCCACTTCCCTGGGGCCAGAGTGAGTAAAGGGGTGGAGAGAGGCCAGCGGGGACCAGGAGTGGGGAAAAGATTCATGCTGTCTGCTTCCAGAATGAACCCACATCTGATCATATTCCTCTCCTGCTTAAAATCTCAGTGCCACCCCCTCACCTCCCAGAGAGAGTCCAAATCTCTCAGTTTGGAATGACGCAGACTCCAGGATCTGGCCCTTGCCCACCTCTCTCCCTTCTCTCCTCACTCACCAGCCCCTCCCCCCAAGTGGGTGAACTACTTCGGTTTCTATTAATGTTCCATCCTCTTCCCATCTCTTCCTCTCTTAACTTACTCCTGGCTCACCTGACCAGGGCCCTCAGCTTTGTCCCCACGTCTGTAGAGCCATCCTTGACCTTCCTCCCTTTGCCAGCCCAGAACTCCCCATGTCCTTCTAACATCCCAAAGCTCCTACCTATAGATGGCCATCTCGGCACCTGTGTCACTTGACTGCCTTTCTCGTGGATGTGCTTCTCTCCTTCTGCTCCCAGGAGGTTTCTTACAGTCAGCGTCTTATGGTCTTACCTTCTGCACAGTGCCTGGCACAGAGGAGTCCTCAGTGACGGAGAGTGTGGAGAAATTACTCAGTGGCTTATGCGTACAGAGCACACTCTAGTTGCTGAATCTAACCTGCATGTGAACCAAGTCTGGTTCACTAAGACAAAGACCAAGCCTGCCTTTCTGGGGTTTATAATCTAGTAGGAACAGTGGTCCTGAACTATCCATTCCTAGGGCTGTGTGTTTGGTCTTGAAATGGGAATAAATAAATCTTTGGCCAAGATAATGCTAGCTTTTCTAGTTTTCTTTACTTTTTAGGTAGTTTAAACCCTAAATAGTCTCTTTTCCTTCTGAGGAGAATATTCCAGGTCTTATGTCCTTGCATATAGTAGGGATGGGATTTAATAATCCCTATATTGTTGTAATAATGCTGCATTTGTTCCCTTGGTGAAATTCAGAGATGCTACATTTACCCGAACAGTTTGTCAAGTATGAGCTCTTATAGAATTGGTTAGGACCGTCTAGCTGTTTCCACACATGGGGATATGAGAGTAAAGCTGGCAGTTATGTTGGAATTGGATATGGGTCCACTGCTTACCACTTAGAGAGGTAGGATATACGGGAAGATGGAGTAGTTTAGCTTCCAGATAGGTAGGGTTATAGGTAGACTATAGGCATGTATAGGCCTAAACAAGGTGCAGCAAGCGCTTAGTCTCCCCGGATTGGGAGGGAACCAGACTGATAGGCTTCAACCTGGAACCCCCCAAAAAGAGCTGCATTTCTGCTTCTGCCATTCCTTCATTCGTGTCACCCTCTGTTTAAAGTTTCCACTTCTCTAGAAAGGGCCAAAGGCCTAGAGAGAACAAGGTAGCAAGAGCTTGAGGCCTGCATGCAGAGAGAAAAAAAAAAAAAAAAAAACAACTAAAGAAAGTGATTAATTGAGTGAAGTATTTATGCCAAGAGTGATGTAGCCTCTGAGGGAAGAGGTGAGAAATGTCAGAAGGTGTGAGTGAGGATGAATAAGAAAAGCAGAAGAATGCCAGTGTTGATCCTAGTAGACAGAGCAATACAAAAAGCAGGAAGGAAGAAATCCCAGAGCAGAATTCCTGGGTCACTCCTTTTCACATCAGCAGTTAGAAACCGTTGGGCCCCAATATCTCTCAACCGTGGAAGGTGGGCCGACCTCCAGCTTGAATGTCTGAACCGTGTGCCTCCTTCTGCAAAGTTGCCTTGCAAGTATAGCAGAACTCAGAAACACATCCAAATATGGATGTGTTTACATGGGAAAGCCAGTGTGTTTAAAATATTATTCAAGTCTCCAAGGATAGGAATTATTTCTGGAGAATTATATTTGTTGGTGGAAGCTATTTTAAATAGTTTCATGTACTTTTCCCCCTGTCATTCATTAAAGTTTTTCATTTTCTTTCCTTTTGGACTTTAAAAATATCGACTAGCTTTCCAAAAGGTATTTCTTATTATAGGACCAACCAGATAAAGTAAAGATTTAAAAAAGTGATGGGAAAATATAATTGAAGCCCAGAATTAGGCTCCATAGCAGAAGCAATAACTGCTCTTTCCCTGGGAATCTTTCCTGAGCATAATGATGTAACCTCAGTTAATGTTCCCATTATTTATTTGCTTTTTTTTATGAGCACATGATAAGGGAGCATCTGCTCACAGCTTAACTACATAAACAATAAACTATGATACATTCATGAGCGGAGGTTTGTGTCCCAAGAAAACAAAGCCATTAGACTGATACGTAGTTAGTAATTTTCATAATGGTTATTGAGTTGCACGGCAATTAGGCATCCATGGTAAGCAGTTGATGTAAATTCTAGAAATAAACTTTTATACATCCAAACAAGATTTTTATAATTTCTCTCTTCTTGTTTAATTATCCAGAATTTATAAAGAGAAATATTGATCATTTCCCTGGCAGCATGTGCAGTTTAATTATCGTTTCACAGGCACACACCCACACCCCCAATGGGTAAGCATGAGGGCACTCTGTGACTCTTGCCCCGTTGCCCTGTTCCATAGCCTAGGGACTGTCCCTATCTCCCCTCCACTCCTCACCAGCGAGTGGAGGAGGGGGCTGCGGTGGTCCCCGTCCTTTCAGGGGGCAGTCTAGAGCTACGGGCAGGAGAGGGCATGAGGGTTGTCGTCTTTGCACCCAGAGCGGTAGATGCTGAGTGTCACCAGCTTTGAGAACTACAGCCCTGAGCTCCTCCCCAGGAAAAGAGGCCTGCCTCCCACCTCAGTGACCTTGCCAGAGGCAACAGCTTTGACCAGCGCAGTTAACTTTTTTTTTTGTAAACATCTTTATTGGAGTAGAATTGCTTTACAATGGTGTGTTAGTTTCTGCTTTCTAACAAAGTGAATCAGTTATACATATACATATGTTACCGTATCTCCTCCCTCTTGCATCTCCCTCCCTCCCACCCTCCCTATCCCACCCCTCTAGGTGGTCACAAAGCACTGAGCTGATCTCCTTGTGCTATGCGGCTGCTTCCCACTAGCTATCTATTTTACGTTTGGTAGTGCATATATGTCCATGCCACTCTCTCACTTTGTCCCAGCTTACCCTTCCCCCTCCCCGTATCCTCAAGTCCATTCTCTAATAGGTCTGTGTCTTTATTCCTGTCTTGCCCCTAGGTTCTTCATGACCTTTTTTTTTTTTTTCTTAGATTCCATGTATATGTGTTAGCACACGGTATTTGTTTTTCTCTTTCTGACTTACTTCACTCTGTATGACAGACTCTAGGTCCATCCACCTCACTGCAAATAACTCAATTTCATTTAACGTTTAAAATGCAAGTAACCCTGAAAGAAGCTTGACTGCACGGATAGGAGGAAGAGGGGGATGGCAAAAGCATCCCAGATCTAAAGCGGGGCAAGAGTGTCACCCGGATGACAGGAGGGCCCAGAATGGGGAGGCTGAAGCCAGAGGCTTCTTAAAGGACACACGCTGGTTAAGGGATCTACCCCCTGCCTCTGCCTCTATTCAGCAAATCAAGGCTGTGCTAGGAGTTATTTTAGATTCGTCAGGCATGGGAGTAGGGAGAGGGAACATGGTCTCCGTTACACTGGGTCAGCCCTCAGTGGCTCTGAGACTTCGAGGTTTCTTGGAACACAGATGCAGCCTTGGTCATGGCTGTTCCATCCCCTGTGGAACTGATATGAGTTTCCTCTGTTTCTAGATATCCAGTCACAACTCGTTCCTTTTTATTTTTATCCCTTTATTTATAGTTGTATCATATATTTTTTATCCAGTAGTAAAAATACAGCCGTGGATATTTTGGTTACACGTTAGCTTGATGCTGGCATATCAGTTATTGCCACCACCATCCTTCTAGTTACCTAAACTCTAAACCAGGAGTTAGTTGTCTTTAAATTACTCTCATTCCCATACCCCTCACACCCATTCAGTAGCCCGGTCGTGTTCCTTCTCCCTGCAGGGTATCTCAGGTCTGCCGCCTCTCTTCTGTCCTCATTGGCAATAAATACCCTACTTCTTTCCTTCTTGCCTGGACTATTACAGTGGTTTTTCCACTTGGTCTCCCTGCCTTTAGGCTTTCTCCTTTCAATCCATCTCACACTGCTGCAAGAACAATCTCTCTAAAGCTTAGCTATAATCATGTCACTTCTCTAACCAAAACCTTCTATTCCCTGCATCAAGCCAGATTACTCACAGACACCTTCAGTTCAGCCTCATCTCCCCTTCCTCCCATCCTGAGCTCCAGCGAGACTACACCATTCTCTGCCCCTGCTGTACCCTCCCCCTCTTCCTTCTCCTCCTGTCTTTACACTGGGGCATCCCCTTCATCCTCATTCCTGAGTGTCTAAACTCCTCCAGGTGAAGCAAGTTGGACATTCTGAAGGCACACAGGCCGGAGTTCTGCTTCAGACTTCCTAGCGTGTGATCTTGGGGGTGATAATAGCCCCTGCCTCATGGGGTTGCTGTGGGGATGACCTGAGATCATCCGTGTAAGTGCCTGGCACGTAATAAGAGAACAGTCACAGTGGCTCTTGTTATTATCATCCCCGTCATTGTCCTTCAGTGGCTAACTCAGGTGCCACCTCCTCCACGAGGCTTTCTTTCTGTCCCAGTCTGAGAGGACATTATGTGGGGTGTCTGCTCCCCACTCAGGCAGTTCCACAAGGTAGCCATCAGTTGAGTCTGTTCCAGGGACAGGTCAGACTTACTACTTAAATGGAAAACTGGCCTTATTTATTAAACCCAGAGTGATTGGTGCCTTAATGATAAAGAGATGCTTCAACATACTATACCAGATTGCTGTGTCAAACTTCGTTTTTTATCTGTAATAGAATTGTCTCTTTTTAAGTGATCTAAGTGGTTAAGTTCCCAATATGAGGGTCCCAGGGAAACCAAACCAGGAATCAGAAGCTTCTCCCCCTCCTTCTGATGTGCTGATCGTAGAGCCACACCTCCCGTCTCTCCGCACCTGTCTCCTAGTGTTCTGTTCACACTGCCTGTCTTTAGTAGGCGTGTTAGATCATGACTAAGCTACAGCCTAGTCCAAGTCTCTCTAAGAGACCATCTGCAGTAAAGTCCTCTGAGCTGATTGTTTAAAATGTAGATTCCCGGGCCCATTCTCACAGCTTCTGAACCAAAATCTGTGCAGTTTGGGCCCACGAACTTGCATTTTAGCAAGCTTACCCAAATAGTCTTTATGTGCACTAAACAGAGTTTTAAGTCACTAACTTGGATTCTGTTCTGTGGGCCTGAGAGAAATGCTGTCTTTATGAGTGTTCTTAATTTTTAATTTTAGTGCTTCTGGGGATTCTCAGTATTGTCCAGCCCCAGGGTGCCACTAAAATTTTATATCTTCTGCCTGTGTTATAGAATTTGCTTCCGTGTTCTATCTTCTCACCTACACTGTATTGTCTGGCCACGCCTAGCAGTCAGTGCAGGAACTTAATTATGTTCAGTGTATGGTTATTAGACATTTGGCTTAAGTTTTAAAGACTAATCAGGTTAACTTATAGGTTAAGCTTATTCAGAAACATATTTAAACCTGAAGTAAGTTATATTTAAAGGCTTAAAACTTAAAAATTTGTCCTGATCTTAACTGAAAACTCATATGGTATATTTGATTGCTCCACAGAGAATGCTAACATATGACATTCTTGGCACGATTCTTTGGTTTTAGCTTAGAGCAATAGGATATACTCTACTTGTCATCTGCAATATATTTTATGGATCAGAATTCCTTACAAGTCAAATTTTTAAAACTTTGTGAATAGCTATCATATATACGATTTAAATTGACTGAGACTCCAGATAAGTTTCTTTTTAAAAAATATTTATTTATTTAATTTTTGGCTGCATTGGGGTGTCTTAGTTGTGGCATGCGGGATCTTCGTTGTGTGTGGCACGTGGGCTTCAGAGCACATGGGCCCTGTAGTTTGCAGCACACAGTCTCTAGTTCTGGCTCCCGTGCACAGTAGCTGCGGCGCTCGGGCTTAGCTGCCCCACGGCATGTGGGACCTTAGTTCCCCGACCAGGGATCAAACCTGCGTCCCCTACGTTGGAAGGTGGATTCTTAACCACTGGACCACCAGGGAAGTCCCAAGTTTCTTTTTAAAATGACTGTTTGTAAGAAATATAAATAACAGTACACAGCATGGAACTTCCAGTTTGTTTCTCTAGACACGCATGGTGAGTGTGAAACAGTGATGTAGACTTTTTTAGTTACCTCCCCTTCCCCCCACAATAAAGCATTTGGAAGAGAGTTTCGATCTATATACTTCTTTTCTTTGTGATTTGGTTAGAGGTTCTCAGACTTTGTAAATTGTTCTTCTTTCAGGACAGAGGCAGTAAAAAATTTTAAGATGGAGATAATTTTAAATAAAAGTAGATAGGCACCAACTTTAGACTTAAATTAGCCATATCTATTTTAATTTTATTATAAATGCTAATGTACACTGATTTGACCATCAGTGTACCGAAATTGCCTTGGAATTTTCGAAATTCTATTTTGAATCAGAAAGACTTACTAATTCATGAATAAATAAAGGTGAAAGCACCACATAAAAGTGTTTTTTTTTTCTTTCCCACTAGGTTTCTGTGATGGTGAGAACGACGTACATGGGGAAGGTATGAATTGATTTCACCTACCTGTGCTGAGTGAGATACTGACTTTAGTATTCATAACCTTCTTTCAACATCGGAACTAGTTAATACTCATGTTTTCAGGACTTCCCAAAATGCTGACAACTGCTGATGGGTTTAATTTTCTGAGATGCTCTATAAAATTAAGGCTAGCCATGATCAAGGCCACGAGAAAGGAAATGTGTGGTTAGGTTACAAGGCTCCTCATCATCTGAGTCCCACAGTCCCACAGTCACAAGGTTGTGCAGGGAAGCAAAAGTGGTAATCACGTGAAGATATTAATCAATTTTGGTCACTTAAGCCATTAGTTGTTCCAATATCCTTCCTTCCTCAGCTGTCTTTCTCTGCCTGTTTAGAAAGTTTTGTGAGTCAGTAATTGACAGATATAAATAATGTGAGGAAAATGCAAACTGATTGCAGAATGAAATTGCAAATCTTGCAGAAGATAATGAGTTTCATAAAGCTGATTAAAGTAACGTTGGAGGGCTTCCCTGGTGCCGCAGTAGTTGGGAATCCGCCTGCCAACGCAGGGGACACGGGTTCAAGCCCTGGTCCGGGAAGATCCCACATGCCGCGGAGCAACTAAGCCTGTGCACCACAACTACTGAGCCTGCGCTCTAGAGCCCGCGAGCCACAACTACTGAGCCCACGTGCCACAACTACTGAAGCCTGCGTGCCTAGAGCCTGTGCTGCACAATGAGAGAGGCCACTGCAATGAGAAGCCCATGCATCGCAACAAAGAGTAGCCCCTGCTCGCCGCAGCTAGAGAAAGCCCACGTGCAGCAACGAAGACCCAATGCAGCCAAAAATAAATAAATAAAATAAATTTTTTTAGAAAAAGGTAATGTTGGAGATCTGCTAAATGACTCTCGAAGCCATTGACAAATGAGGGTCTGACACAGTTCATTTATTCATTCAGTACCAGGCACTGTTTTCTTTTCCCTAAAATTTTATAATCTGGAATTTAGTTTTCATAATCTAGAAGTGAACAACTAAATTAGGTTTATGTATCGCAGCAGTCAGGACTCGTGGGGAATATGATAAATGAGGAGCATCTTGTGCCAGAGGCACAATTCTTTTTCATCATCTTATATACTCGTTTCTGGGCAAGCCATTTTAGGCCATGAAAAGTTGAAACAGCAATAAATATCTAATCCACTAGGACAGAGATAAAGAAATGGCTTCAAGGTTCTTTGCATTCCCCCAATGACTTCTCTGAAGAATTCCCAACCAATCTTGGATATGAAGAGACTAAAAACAGTGAACTACTCTAAGGAAACAATCCCCTTTGCGGTGCTGGAATACACTCCAGCCATACTCCTGTGACCAAACTCTTACAAGAAGTAGCCTTGAGTCATGAAGCTACCTCACTCAGCCCTTGAAACTTTTCCTATCATCTAGCAGTACATTACAGAAACATTTTTTAATTCTTGAGTCATTGTATGGCTTTATAAAGGCTCTCAAACCTATTATTCCTGTCCTCCAGTTTGTTGAGAGAGGGCTGTAGGGCCAGTGTTTACCAGGTACTATTTTAAGCACTGCCCACCAGTGCATAAAATAAAGGCCCTGCCATCATGGAACTTACATTTCTGAAGCAGTTTACGTTGACAGTTAACAAGGAAGCCAAGAAAAGGAAGAAAACAAGAAGGTTGACAAAATAAGCTTTTCCAGAGAGAGTGGTTTGACGATCAGAATTAAGACACACCTGGGATCATTGATAAAGCCTGGAATATTTGAGCAGAAATGGCTGCTGTTGTGATGGTGCTGAGTAGGTCACCTGTAAAGAGCATTGCCTCATTCTCAGAATTTACTCTGAAATTTCAGTCTGTTTGAAGTGGCTTCTCTCTGGGGTCTGTCATCCTGTGTGGGGCTAAGACAGGACAGTCATGACAGTCACCCTGGAGCTTACGTGGTCACCAGAACCTAACAGCACTCGTAGTTCTGAGCGTCACCCGTCTCTCTAATGAATCCCCTTCCTAACATCAGATCCCTTAATTCCTGAGGGTTGGCCCTTTGTCTTCTTGTCTCTCTCTGAGAACAAGAAGTTTTCCCTTTTTTATGGCTCAGCACTCCTGTTTTACCTGGCAGAAAGCCCTGGATTGGTCCCTTGATACAAAGCCAGGCTGTTTTACAGGCTTTAAGAGCCAGGAGAGGGCCCTTCAGCTGCCCAGCCTTAGTCCTCTGGGTTCTCAATTCCTCTTTATCCCCCACTCCCAGCCTATGACCAGGTAGCTTTACTGCCACCATGTCTTCCATGTAATATTCCTCTTCTCTCTTTGTTATCTTCCTCATTTCCTCTCTCCTGGATTTTTGTGGGTCTCTCCTCATCCCTTTTCTTCCATCCTCTCCTCGCCAAGTTTGAGGGCCCTTCCTGATCTGGCCTCGACCTTCCTACCCTTCTCCTTTACTTTCCCTACACTCCAGTTGCAAAGAGCAGCTCTGCTCAGTAGTCGTCCACCACTTCCTCTCTCTCTAGGCCTTTGTTCTTATTCCTCCCTCTCTGGGGATGTTCATTTCCTGTGTCCCTAAAGGGCTCGCCTCAGTGCCGAGCCCCAGAGGCCAGCGTGGGCTCTTCCTGGTCTACCCTTGAGCAGCACTGAGCCTTCGCTCTTGTGGGCCTCCCCCGGCTTCTCCTTCCGGGCATGGGTATTCACATTTTGTCCTTTCCCCTGACTAGAGTATAAAGTCCTCAAGGGCTGAATCCGTGTCTTACTCACCTATGCCACACCCATGGTAATGCTCAAAACACCTTCCCTAGTAGACAGGCAATAAATATGTGTTAAATCAATCACTTTTACGAAGATAATTGGTTTGGCCAAAGGTGGGATGGCTTCCTTCTAACACAGTGAATGTGCTTCTTCTCCCTTTTAGTTGTGTCTTTCCCCAGCCCACTGAAGGAAGAGAATCTGCTAAACATTCCCAAGCCACTGCCAAAACAGCTGTGGGAGACCAAGGAGGTGGGTGGACAGCTATGTTTGTTGTCACTGAATATTTGTACTTCAGAGGTCATCGTCAAATTCTGCTGAGGAGAAAACAAGAGGAATTGGGAAAAAAGGCAGAGCGGATGTCTGGGGACAGAGATAGGAAGAATGTACTAGGGAATGATGGTTCAAATAAAAATTATCATTGTTGATGAATTAGTACAGTGATCTCTTGCCTTCCTAATTTTCTGAATTTACTCATTCAGAAAAACCTGTTGGTCCTTCACATCTCATTTGTATTACAAGAAGCACTGAAACCTGGTTACAAGTCACAGGCAGATTTTTCTGTTTTGTAGCCAACACTGTCTTCCAGTCACCAGCTTCTGTCCAGAATTGCTGGTTTACCAGATACTACTTTCTTTAATCAAGGCCATTTGACCCGAGTCCTCCAGAAGTCAGAAAGGAAGTGCTCTGTTAAATGGTTTCTAAGAGCCTTCGAGTACTTGTCCCTGTCTCCACCATGGCTCTCTCTGTAAACTCACCTGCTGTGGAAGAGAGGGAGGTCCCAGCAGTACCTGAGTTGGCCTTTCTTCCCATAGAGAAGCTGCTGCCTTTGAAAGAAAACAGTGCTGTTGCAGTTGCTTGTATTGTCTCGTGCTTGACCATCGCCACCTGTTCAGGCTTCCTTTAGTCAGTTCCAGTTTCTTCTGCCAAGTCTACCAAAGTCATCATTAGCATTAGGGTGGGCTTGAATGGTCTTTTGTAAAAGCAAGATGTTTTGATGTTTAGTCTTTTGGGGAATAAAAGAGATTTAAAATTCACATACTTAAACATAGGAGAAGCAGCCCACTGTCTTTGGCTATGGAGGCCCAGGTGGTTTTGGAGGCTTTTATCAGAGGACAACTGTATCTTCCCCACAAAGGGGGCAATGGCATCCACTCTTCCCCAAGTACCAGGGAAGATGTGCTCTCTCTGGGAAGAGGTGTTCGTCTCCTCTTTTAGTTCTTTTTTTGCCACACCACACGGCTTGCAGGATCTTAATTCCCTGACCAG